CGCTTCTCTTCCTCCGAGATCCTGGGCACACACACACACACACACACACACACACACACACATGCCAGGTGTGAGTTTCAAGCTGCCAGGTCTGGGACTTGAACCATAATCAGCCATGTGGGAGTGTAGCACTTTAACTACTATGTCACCTGCTGACCCCAGCAAGCCAAAATAATTTTTAAATACTATGTTTATATGGACTTCTAGGAATACAACTCATACACTTCCTGTGAAATCAACCAACCAGAGCATTCTTAAGTTTGTTTTGAATGTTTATTGTTTGTTACACAACCTATAGCCAAAATGGGAAGACAGCATAATTTCTTACCAAATTAAATATATTTTATCTGTATTATTTTGCCCATTGTACAAAATGCATCAAAAAGAACTTGAAAAATTATGACACAATCAATCTTATTCTCATGGAGTAACCTAAAGAAATAAATAGACTCTTGCTAACTCATGTATTCATTCCTATGCCTATATTTACTCATAGGTTATGCTTTTATGACTTCAGTATAAGTGGTATAGTTTTAATTTTTATCTATGCAACTTGTGTTTTATCTGACAATTGAATTGTACTATTTTTTTTTCCTGAAGTCACTTTGCAAGGGAACACACAGGTTACAATGTTCAATAGATAAGAAATGGAAAATTATTTGCTGAGAACATGTATGTTGATGTGCTTGATTGAGCCAATATACAGTGTATTCTGGATGGAAAATTCATTTTGTATACTGTAATGATGTATAGTGAATTAATGTAAAAAAATAAATTTAAAGAAAAAAGAAAAAAAGAAAAAATTTTTAAATGATTTTTTTCAAAAAAACAAAACAAAGACAAAACAAAACACAAAAAGATAAGTGAAGAATATGTTGCCACAACAGAAATCACATCATAGTAACTGGCAACAGTCAGATTTGATGTGTTCTCTTATGAAGATGGCATGTTGGACATTTGACAATCTTTCTTAAAATCTCCAAAAGTTAAAGAAAGATGTGTTTGGATTTCTGTTCTATGAAAACCTTCCTGTTTTTCAGATCACTAGAAGTAATCAGGTATTATTGTATGTTATTTATTTATTAAAAGTAGTTTTTCCATCTCAACATTATTATCAAACCAGTCCTGGCAGTAAATGACATTTCAACAATTCACTTGCCAATACCACTTATTTTGAGTAAAACAACACAACAGTTGCAACGGCTAGTAAGGATACCTTGTGTATCTCCATTTCTGATATAAAAATAGATTGTGTAGGAAGAAATCTTCTACAGCTGTTCTTGATAAAATACAGAGAATTATATGATTTGTATTTCTATCACATTGTAGTCTATAGTTCCTCAGAACAAGAGAAATTTATCTGTACAAAATTTAAAGTTGGAACAAGAGGGAGGGAGAAATATTTAGAAATCTCTTTTTAAGTCTTTTTTCCTGTATGAAATAAAAGTATCCTTTGAAAATATTAAACATTATTGTTTACTTCTTAACATCTATAATTCCTATCTTCTTGGCAACTACTTACTTTTATTTAAATCAATAAACTCAAACTTGTCTTTAGAATGTGCTCACAATAATTTTTTCCCTAAAACATGACTTTTTTTTTTAACATGGAAGAGCCTAAATACCTGTTTATCATGTGACATGAAATCATCTGTTTCCATGGTCCTGGTGTTATACAACTTTCCTGATAAATGCACTGAAAATCTACAGTAGCGATGCAATCCACAAGCCTGGCAGGAACAGTTTTCAGGAGTCTTCCAACGGATACTTACATTAGAATAATTTTCTACCCGCTCCTGAAAACAATTTACAAACATAATGAAGTTTAAAAGATTAAAAACAAAATGAAGTAAAATAACAATCTAACCAAATTGAAACTTATCCTCAGAATCAAATAGGAAAAGATACGAAAGCAAAAACACTGGCTTTTCTAACTTTAATAGTGATCACGTAGTAGGTGTTTGACAACACGTTTTCAAGTTAAAAACAATGAATTTATAATTTTGGCTATTATTAAATGAAAAGAAACTAGAAAAGGACAAATAACTAATTTCATATCACTCACACTTAAGCATTACTACACCAAGTAGTGTTTTTGATATATCTACTTTTTTCCATTTACTTCTCTCTAGTTAGTGATACTGAAATTTTAGTTAGAAATGGAAAAGAAAGAGCAGCAAAATTTCATGATAATTTCAGGATAAAGAATATTATTCAGGGGACTAGCAGTTAGCGTAATGGCTATGTTGCTAAACTCCCATGTAGTTGACCGCAGTTCAAGTCCTGGACCGGGTGGCTTAAACTCACGCTGAGCTCATGTGTGTGCGTGCCCAAGATCCCGAGAGGAGAATGGAGAAGGGATTGCAGTGTGGCCAACCCCCCTGGGAGGTGATTTCTCGCTTTCTGTCTCTCTGTCTCTCTGGTGAGCTCACGTGCCCTATAGCAAAAACCTCTTTAAAAATAAAAAGAAAAAAAAAAGACTATTATTCAGGAAAAATAAAAAGGGGAATTCATGTAGGCTAGTTAAAATTTGAGGGGAAAAAACACATTTTCTCATTCACTCTTAATTGTATAAATGATATATTTTCCACACACTATTCCAGAAATACTTTAATCCTCCTGTGGTTACCTGATATAGTCCTGTGAAAATAAGTAAGTTGGAGCTAGAATGGCCAAATGTCCTGGATTGCATATGGATAGTCTCATAGCTGAATTATCAGTAAGTAGACAAACTCAGAAAACACTTGTCATTTATAAATAAGCTTTATTCAGCTATGGAGTTCTTATACCTGCATCTTTTTTTTTTTTTTTTTTTTTAAAGAGATGAGGTCTCACGATGTTGCTCATGCAGGCCTTGAACTCATGATCTTCCTGATTTAGCCTCCCAAGTAGCTGGGGGATTATAGGTGTACACCATTGTACCCAGTTCCTTTGTATATTTCTGTCCACATGCTATGCCTATGCTGGGCACTACTATTCTAATTAGTCATGTAGATTAGGTATTACCACAGTATCTGAACTGCACATAGGGAGTATATTAACATGGTTACTATTCCACGTTTGCATCATTCTCTATCAACCTGATGGTGATTTAGTATCCAATATATCCATAGTTTCCATTTTACATTATATGATTCAAAATGCTGTCTTTTGTCTACTTTTCATTTCTCATACTTCATGGCATTTCATGGCATGTGTCATTATAAGGTGAAATTCAGATTGAGTAAGTGATGAGCCATCTTCCCTTCCTGCTTCTTTGGTACTCATGGAAGAACATGGTGAATGAAACCTGGGATAAAAGTTTTAACAGCTTGGTCCTCTAAGTAAGTACAATGAGCAGAGCACCCCAATAACTGTTACTGGACATATAAGTAAAAAATAAGCTTTGTTGGGTTAAACGATTGAAACTTTCTAAAAAATTATTTTTTCATATTATTTCTTTATCTTTAGAAGCATAACTCAGTTTCTGTTGACTAAGACCTTACTGAATCATCAATGTCTCTATATTTTTCAGCTAAAAAATAAAGAAGTTAAGTTTTTTGTCATAGGGTGCATGTACTCGCCACAGAGAGACGGTGAGAGGGAAAGTGAGAAATCACCTCCCCCCAGGGTAAATGGTTATGTCACAACCCCTTCTCCTCTGTTCTTCTCCTGGGATTTTGGGCACATATGCACATGTATCAGGTATGATTTTCAAGCAGCCAGGTCTAGAACTTGAACCACAGTCGGTCATGTGGGAGTCCAGTGCCACCATGCCACCTGCTGGCCCTGCAGCTAAAATTTTTTATCTTACAATTATTATTTCAACATTGGGTTACCCAAACTCAGTATAGTCTATTATAGTATGGTATAGTGTGGTAGAGTATAGTTTTTGGAAACGGAGGTTTAAATATTGGCTTATTGGTGTGGAAGCTTATGCTACTTAATTTTCCTGAGTTACAGTTTTCTTATTTCTAAAACAGAAGAAATAATAGTGCCTTCCTCATAGAACTACTCTGAAGATTAAATAGGGCACTTAAATATGTATGTAAATTACTTGGCAAAAGTTAAAGGATCTATAAGTATATGCTGATTTTCTTTCTATTAAAGAAAATATTTATGCCATGTTCTGAGAGCTGTGCTATGTACTTTATCTTCAAAGTAAATAAATACTTCCCTTCAAAGTAGACAAATATTTTTTAAAATTTGAGGAAAAAACTGGGGTTCAGTGAGGTTAAAAACATACAAAGTCAAATATACATGGTGGCTCTAGAATCAAGCCATCCTCCAGCTTGAAGGCTTCTAACTCTTTCTGTATCTCACCACTGTCTCCTAAACCTATCTATCTATGGCTAATTTACTATCAGGTAATTGAAGGCTAACCAAACTTTGCATGAAATCAAATCTCTTAACATAAATGAGTTAGAGAAGCTAATAATTTAAGTGCTTAGAAGGATTAAAAGGAACTTGAATTTTTTAAAAATAATTATTTATTTGTATTTATTATTTTTTAATTTGACCAGAGAGGGAGAGAAAGGGAGAGAAAGGGAGAGAGCAAGCCACCAGGTCAAGAACTTGAACCGTGGTTGGCCATGTGGGAATCCAGTGCCTTCAACCACCACACCACCAGCTGGCCTCAAGGAACCTGAATTTTTTTTTTAGAGAGAGAGATTTTTGCTATAGGACATGTACACTTGCTAAGGAGATAGAGATGGAGATAGAAAGCAAGAAATCACCCCCAGGGAGGATGGTCATGCCACAATTCCTTCTCCTCCATTCTCCTCTTGGGATTTTTGGCCTGCATGTACATGTGCCTGGCGTGAGTTTCAAGCTGCCAGGTCTGGGACTCGAACTGTGGTCAACTACATGGGAGCCCAGTGATGTAATCATTAAGCCATCTAATGGTCCTGGAACTTGAATTTTTATTATATTTCTATTTTACCTCTTGGTAATCTTAGAACATAGTATGTTAGAAGTAAAGAGAGGAAAAAAAAAAAACCTTAAAAATCAGATAGAGCATCCTTTCCTATTTGAGATCATAAAATAGAAATCTTGAGGAAACAGAATCCAGTACATATTATAAATTAAGACAACGCTTCTCTAAACTGGTATATTGCAAAATCTTAAAATAGAGAGGGGTGGAAAACACTATATAGGATGGTGTTTCCCAAACAATATTCTATGGACATCAAGCATTCTACAAGACAACGGGTATTTTATTAAAAGGAGCCTCATAATAAAACACAAATTGGTAAAGAACTGCATTCTGTACCCCCCACCATTTTGTTTTGGACTATAGGTAGGGCACATAGCCTCACCAGATATAAACATAGAAGGAAATTGAGATAGCACCCCCTAAGGGGTATGGCCACACAGTGATCCCATTTCCTCTATTATTCTCTTGAAATACTGGCCTAACACACACACAGAGATCTAGCGTATTTTTCAAGCCACTGGATACTCCAACCATGCAGCCAGCCATGTGGGATTCAACTACCACATCACCTGCTAGCTCTTACATCCCCTTCTTGAAGATTTATAGTATAAATTCATTTATCAATGCTCTTGAAAAGTTCTTAAATAACAAATTCATGGAATTACAGGTGCAGACCATTGTGCTCATAGTCTTAAGTTAAACCTATTGTTTCCCAAATTTCTTTGTCTATGAAACTCTTGTTTCTGAAACAATCTATATCCTGCGAGACAATCTCCTCATTTAAAAAGATAGACTAAGGGGACCAGTAGGTGGCATGGTAGTTAAGGTACTGACTCCCACATGGCTAACTTTGAGGTTTGAGTCCCAGACCTGGAAGCATGAAAAATACACCAGGCACACACATTCACATTAAAAGTCCTGAAGGGAAAATGGAGAAGGGATTGTGGTGTGGCCATCCCCTGGGGGATGACTTTTCACTTTCCCCACTCTGTCTCTCTCCTGCAAGCACACAGGACCAATGGCAAAACTCTAAAAAAAAAAAGAAAAAGATGGACTAAATCCTACTTCATCATTTAGAAGTATTTAATTATTGAATATTCTATTAGTAAAAGCCTTTAGAAGTGAGAAATAACCAGCTGATTATCTAACAAAGAGAAATGCCATGCTATAGAAGGTTATTTAGTCTGACTGGTATTGACTCCCGAGAGGTTTACTGCCTCCAAACCCCTACCAGAGATTCAAAAACAAACTGCGTACCTTATACTGCTCTTTCCAACGACTTCTAGAAGCTAAACTCTCCAGACGAGGCTGAACAAAGCGGCTATCCAAATAATGAAGAGATGTCAACATGTCTTGTGCGTATGATTTTTGCCTGGTGCCATCTGTTTAGGGGATCAACAAAAAGAAAGAACAATCACTTTGTCCATATATGAAATATTTAAACAATTGAATACTTAAGGATCTCTTCCCATGGGCTTAGAAAGACATCTGGTTGGTTTTCTGGATGCATTTTAAATTAGAAAAAAAAATAAAAAAAAAATCATTCCATCAGAGCATTACAGAAAGAAAATAGGGCAAAAAAAAAAATCGCATAGTTCTCCTTTTAAGTATCCAGCTTTAGCATTATTTTCTGATAACTAAGAAAGATGAAAAAGCTTGCCAAATTATCTTTTATTCTCTTATACAAAACTGACATGGATTAACCACTGAATTCCAGATTAAGCTAAAAATTTTTAGAAGGGTTTCCAAGCTCTCTGCAATTAGATCCATTTTTTAAAGTTTATTTCTTTCTTTCATTGACAGCATGGTCAGGGTGTCCACTGAAAGAGTCTTTGCAATGCAATCTTCTTTCTCTCCCTCAACTCTACAGGCAGCCAGAATAGTGCCTTCAGGTAGATTCAGGAAGCAAACTTGAAGCATTTCCATATGGCTTCCAGCATCATGCAGAAGTGACCCTACTGTTTGTACTGCCACAGCTAAGCAGGCCCGCAATTGGCTTGATTCTACTGAGTCAGTGGTAACTTCTGCCAACAAATAACAACTTTTATTTTCTAACTCACTCTCCTTTAGCATGCTAAACTCATTTCACCTTCCTGATTTGGTTCATATTATTATTTGAATTTTATTCAAATTTGTGAGTCTGTGAAATTAAGCTTTGTTTCCCTATATTCTTTTTAGTTTCTCTAATTCATCTAGCTAATAAATTTATCATGTTTCTTTAAATTACTACAAATTTAAACATCTTACCATCGCTTACAAAGCCTTCATGTTCCCTGCCTACTGTTCTGAACTCCACTCTTCTTTCTCCTACTGGATTCAACTCCATCCACACAAACCACCTTGTTCTTAGACAAACAAAACTCATTCTTTAAGGATCTTAACACTTGCTAGATCCACATCTTCCTCCCTCACTTCATTAAAATTTCTGTTAAAACATTATCTCTTGAGAGGGGCCAGCAGTTGGTATAGTGGTTAAGATGTAGGACTCTCATATGGTCAACTACGGTTTAAATCATGGATGTGATGGCTTGAAAATTACATCAGCAGTGTGTGCCCAAAATCCCAAGAGGAGAATGAAGGAGATGGGACTGTGGTGTGGCCATCCTCCCCAGGGGATGATTTCTCACTTTCTCCTTCTCTCTTCTTCAAGCACATACGCTCTATGGCAAAAACCTTAAAAAAAAAAAAGTTACCTTTTGAGAGACCTTCTTTGACCAATCTTACTAATGTAATATAGGTTTTATTTTATTGTTCTCTGTTTCCCTATCCTTTATTCTTTTTGTCTGAGAATTAAAAATCACTAGCTGAAATATTATATATTCGTTTTGTCTGTCTCTCCCATGAGACATTAAGCAACATGAGGGCTGGAAGCTAATACATCTTAGTGACTGTCATATCCCCAGTCCTCGAGTGATGTATGGCCTTTAGTAGGTATTTAATATTTGTTCAATAAATTGTGAATAAACTCTTTCTTGTCAGTTAGGTAGATATTCACTGCAACATATTTATAAGCTATTAAGTTCCAGATTCTGTGCTAGATATGAGATACATGTATATATAAAGTATATTTCTTCTTACACAGAGGTACAAGAGGAAAGCAAAAATATATATTCAATACAATATGAAAGGTACATATACATGAATACTACCATACTCAGAATGGAGGTACAAGTGAGAGTGTTCACAGTGGAAATGTTTTTACATTTCTTTAGAAAATCTACTGGGTCATTGGAGAAGTCATGATGTATTTTCCCATATTTTTAAGTATTTTTCCATGATGTAAAAATGCATCATGACTTTTCTGATTACTCACTATATAAATGGATTTTAATCCCACAGGGAAAAACTGGTTAAAGATGGTGCTGCTTGATTTTGGTCTAATCTGTATAATGTTAAAAGTGAGGTTACTGGGGCCAGCAGGTGGCATGTTGGTTAAAGGCGCTGGACTCCACATGACCAACCATAGTTCAAATCCTGGACCTGGTGGCTTGCTTTCTCACTTTCTCCCTCTGTCTCCATCTGATGAGTGCATGTGTCCTGCAGTAAATAAAAAATAATTAAATAATTAAATAATTATTTTTTAAAAAGTGAAGTTATTTAAAAATTGAAAAAAATTGACCCAATCACACTATTAACTTACCATACAATGTTCCCAGAAAAGATTCATCTAAGGCGTTGATTAGAAGGGCCTTCACAACTCTTTCAAAGTGAGTATAGTGGTCACTAAAAGAATCTGAAATTAATTTTTAATAAATATTAGAATCTAGTAGACAAAACAATTCCCTAAAAATATGAGGTTCCTTTCTCCAATCTTAGGAGGTATATACTATAAATAGTATAAATAGTAGTATCACTTACTAATTTTATTACTGCCTTGGTGACTTGTCTAGTCACTGAGAAAATCCCTATTTCCAAATTTACTGGCTTCTAACTCAAACTTTCTAGTTGTTATTTCAAATGTTAACTTTCCAAATTTAGAGAGAACTAGTCACGGACTACTGGAGTTAAGAAATGAAATCAAAAGCATCACCTGTGTGCCTAAGCTTAATTATCAACTGGTTAACTGGAGTCAGGGAGGAACAGAGAAAACCCTGCAAAGATTGTTTTATATGACTTACTTTGTACAAACTATTCCATGTGAAACTGTCTGAGAAACAGCTACCTAAGCCAGAACCCCAATGATGATAAAAACTGTTTCCTTTTATGCTCACTTCTCTTTCGTAGAATTTTTTCCATCAACTTAAAGTATTTTTTCTTTTCCATATCCGATATATAAGCCTGCCGGCTCACTAACCCAATCTTATACATAAAATCACATACTGTGATAGGCCAGGTGGACATAAAACAGAAGAGCCACACCATTCTCATATTGTCTGGATGAAAGTTTAAGATTTTGTGGAATATAATAAAAGGGTCATGTCAAACATGACCTTTCTGATTACTCACTATATAAATGGATTTTAATCCCACAGGGAAAAACTGGTTAAAGATGGTGCTGCTTGATTTTGGTCTAATCTGTATAATGTTAAAAGTGAGGTTACTGGGGCCAGCAGGTGGCATGTTGGTTAAAGGCGCTGGACTCCACATGACCAACCATAGTTCAAATCCTGGACCTGGTGGCTTGCTTTCTCACTTTCTCCCTCTGTCTCCATCTGATGAGTGCATGTGTCCTGCAGTAAATAAAAAATAATTAAATAATTAAATAATTATTTTTTAAAAAGTGAAGTTATTTAAAAATTGAAAAAAATTGACCCAATCACACTATTAACTTACCATACAATGTTCCCAGAAAAGATTCATCTAAGGCGTTGATTAGAAGGGCCTTCACAACTCTTTCAAAGTGAGTATAGTGGTCACTAAAAGAATCTGAAATTAATTTTTAATAAATATTAGAATCTAGTAGACAAAACAATTCCCTAAAAATATGAGGTTCCTTTCTCCAATCTTAGGAGGTATATACTATAAATAGTATAAATAGTAGTATCACTTACTAATTTTATTACTGCCTTGGTGACTTGTCTAGTCACTGAGAAAATCCCTATTTCCAAATTTACTGGCTTCTAACTCAAACTTTCTAGTTGTTATTTCAAATGTTAACTTTCCAAATTTAGAGAGAACTAGTCACGGACTACTGGAGTTAAGAAATGAAATCAAAAGCATCACCTGTGTGCCTAAGCTTAATTATCAACTGGTTAACTGGAGTCAGGGAGGAACAGAGAAAACCCTGCAAAGATTGTTTTATATGACTTACTTTGTACAAACTATTCCATGTGAAACTGTCTGAGAAACAGCTACCTAAGCCAGAACCCCAATGATGATAAAAACTGTTTCCTTTTATGCTCACTTCTCTTTCGTAGAATTTTTTCCATCAACTTAAAGTATTTTTTCTTTTCCATATCCGATATATAAGCCTGCCGGCTCACTAACCCAATCTTATACATAAAATCACATACTGTGATAGGCCAGGTGGACATAAAACAGAAGAGCCACACCATTCTCATATTGTCTGGATGAAAGTTTAAGATTTTGTGGAATATAATAAAAGGGTCATGTCAAACATGACCCCTTCCTTGATCTAAATGATCACCACAGAACACACACACTCTGCTCTGGAATCCTGTGAAGACATATTAAGTATTTTAGAATATGTGGGAAATGTTTTACAAGGAATTAAAGCAAAATAAGTCTTATCATTAGCAACTATGAGTGGATTTTGTCTTCCTTTCCAGTGGAGGTGAAAATAAAAGATTGAAAATTTAAAAATACTTTTATTTTCATTTCAGTAATTCAGTTGTATAACTGTTTTTACAGACCTCACAGAAAATTTTGCTATGCATTCATTTTCATGGAGACACAGAAATATTAAAGTGACCAAAAGAAAATAGTAATGAAATAAATGACAATAGCAGATAATTTGTACTGTGGGCCTTAGAATTCAGAAGGCTTATAATCAGTTGAAAATTATAAAAGACCTGATTGTGGCTATTAATGAATATAATATTTTCTTAAAAATCAGTAGAGCATAATTGGAAAACAAAGTAGAATTCAACTTTGATTAAATTCATCAAACTCTGGATATAATAATATAGTGGTACATAATTTTGTGTTAAAACTCACCTATACTCTACCTAGCACTTTCTAAACTGTTTTTTGTTTGTTTTAGGAAAAACTGTTCTGGGAATATTAACAGTTTGAAACAAAAAAGAAAAAGTCAAACACATCCCCTGTGCCCCTAAGTTTAACTATCAAATAAATTACGGAAGAATATTTTATCTCACTGAATTTATCCATCTTAAGTGTGCTAATAACCAATGTTACTAATTTTTGGAAACTGCTGCTCTATTTCAAATAACCTAAAAGCACTATTTAGAATTAAGAGAGA